GGCCAGCGCGCACACGTGCTAACGATCATGGCCGAGATCGCCTCTGGCATGAAACCAGCGCAGATCAGCGCCCTCACAGCCCCCAACAAGGTCCTCGTCTGCATGGGCATGTGGCAGATCACCGCACAGGATCTCATCGCCGCCCAGCGCCTCCGCAACCTCCTCATGTCCCACCTCGCCCACCTCTTCCGTCAACACCCCGGCCTACTCATCCTCACCCCGACAACCCCCATCCCCGGCTGGAAGATCGAAAGCGAGACGGATCTTGCCCGCGGGGTGTCCGACGGCAAAGCCTCCGTCCGGAATATGGAGTATGTCTGGCTGGCAAATTTCAGTGGTTGTCCCGCCATCAGTTGTCCCGCTGGTTATACCTCTGGTGACAAAGGGGGCCACGTCCCTGTTGGTATAATGGCTATGGGCGAATGGGGAACGGAAGAAGACCTCATTGCCTTCGCAAGGGACGGAGAAGCTATCCTGGATCTCCCTGGGAACCGGCCATCGAAATCTGATCGGCTGGGTGGAGAGTCGGCTGGCTTGAGGATCCCAAGCGGCGACGGTTGTCTATGGGAGGATGTGATTGCGAAAGCGACCGCAGTAGACTCCTCTTGAGTGTGGGCACAAGATTTGCCTATATTTATGTAAATTGAGCGGATGAAACTTATCTTACCTATATATGCTAGTAGTCTTACGGTTCATGTGTGCTTATTCACCTTTGGAGGATTTTTACAGACGACTTGGCTTGCTGCTGATCGAACCTACCGGTGGAACACAAGATGGCTCTTGATTAAAACTTGAAAAACCTGGGATAAACCCTATGGACGAGGAGGCCATAGTTCGGTATGCGAACAATCTGCCACAGCCAGGATGAAGTATCTTATATTATAACGGTATGCACAGAAATGGCTGTCCAGCAGCCGTGAAACATGCCATAATCATTGTCGTGGCGTTTGCTCTTGATGTATAGTGGTCATGGACTAGAGTTGGTCAGATCGACTCCGTAGACACAGAGTCGCGACTGCCCCGTTGCAAATAAAATATGACAGTAGCGTGTGCGGCAGTTCACAGTCTCCCTCATTTCCTTCATCTGAAACCGCCCAAAATCAGGCCGGTACAAATTCTGAGGCGCAAGAGAATGGACGTGGTAGCAGTCAACACCCGTAGTTATGACCCAAGAGGAAATCTGCTTTCCGCAGACTTCCCGTTTCAAATCCATATGCCTTCTCCGCGATGAGGAGCGTAGAACTCGCAGCCGAGTCTAGCAACTTCGCCCCGGGATCGAAGCTGTTTTAAAATTCGTTCCCGAGGCGGAATATCATCAGTCAAGTCTTCTTTGATGTGTATGATATAGACAGATAAGCCCGACAGCGGAAGGGGTCCGGAGTTAGCAGTTGGAGCTTCTTCAGGACTGGTGGACGGTGGAGCGGGATCCGCAGGATTTCCACTATCGCTTACATCGTCGGGCTCGTGGTAGCTTGGTGTCGGCTCGTCATGAACCAGCTCAGGGATCTCAACCAAGCCTTCCGCGGTTGAGTAAAATCGTGGTCGCATGTCTACCGTAGCAGAAGCCATGCCCATCGGGGATGGTTCCGACCTCTTGCCAGCTGGAACGGAGAAACTCTGAGGACGCTTTGATCTCGGACTCATTTGCTCTCCACTTCCGCCACAGGTGTTGGTATCTGAGCGTTTGCGCTTCCCGAAACTCGATATCGTCATGCTCGGATGCCGGGCTTCCATAACCTTCCCGGCCAACAACGTCAGTTCCGCGATCAGGTGTCGCGGACAGAGATGACCATATAAATATGCATCCTCGACAGAATCGTCATATGAGCATTCGATGAAGATGGCGCGCAATTTGCCCGCCGCAATTTTCGGTGCTGCTGCCTCCCAGATGCGTTTGTTGCGTGGGTCAAGCGATACACAGTCGGGCTCGACGTCACCGAAGATAATGATCTCATTGCCAGTATGTTGATCACGGATGAAGAATGCAGAGCTCTCCACTGTCGCCCATATGGGCTCTTTTTGGTTTGCTGAGAGCATTCGGGGAGAGCGAGCCGGAGAATATATCCTTCAAGTAGTCCAACGTCAGTGGAATATACTGGCGTTTCAGTGTAGTAGACTTACCCTGCGTCGGTAGTGTGATCAACGGATATAGCTCTGGAAGGCAGCATCAATGGATCAGCGGTAAAGACTGAGCTGCCCACACGATGGTGAGTTCCGGACTCTGGGTGAAAGCGCTGCCTGCATCGCCCATGACTGATGCCGAGGCATCGGGCTAGAAGACCGTCACAGGTTCGGATATAACCCTTAGCATCTCCACGTCCAAATCTTGGATTCCCTCCTTCAACGAGACGTTGATATGTCAGTAGACCCGCGCCGCCATCTTCATCGGACAGATTTGGCCAGATCACGTCGTTGAACATATGGTTTTTAATGGCAGCGACAATCGATGGTAGAGCGGCCAAAGGTTTGGGTCCGTTTCCTGCTTCAAGCATGGGTGTGTTGATTGCCAGGCCGGCCAGGTGGTCCAAGTGAGCATGTGTGATTAGGACAGCTCCAATGATGTCTCGGAAGATATGTGCAGCATTGGCTTGAGCCGACTTGTAGGGCATTCTGAGGCCGGCAAAAGGCCCTTCATCCATCATATACGTGCCATCCTTTAACTCTGCATTGTACTGCTCCAGAGTGTGAATAATGCCTGAAACAAGGGTACCTGCGTCGACCGCAATCACCGAATTCGTTGACCAGTGCGTCGATGTTGATCGGACAAGAAGTCCAGTGAGGCTGTCTTCACGAGGACCTCCCGTTGGACCCTTTACGAGATAGATGTCAGTTACCGGGTTGACTGACACGCTATAACCCGATACTAATCCACACAGTTCGCCGTGGGAACCCGTTTACATGCAGAAGAGATACTTGGAAACGGGCAAGATGGATAAATCAACGTGAAGAGTGGATAAAAGAGAAATTTCAGGAGCAATTTCATTTCATAGGGATACCTATGATTTTGCCAAAAATCATGTTTTCTGATAGGTAAACCCAAGGGCAAGAGTCGCGAGCTAAGAAAAAATGGACTTACCAAGACAATCACCTGAAAAGCTGCTTTATTCGCCATTATCAACAAGCTCTCCAGCCTTGCGTATACGCTCCCGAGACAAATAACTGAGCGACTTTGCTTCGACGTGATGGAGCCTCGGCAACTCACAAACGATGCTCTGTCTCGGAAAGATTGAGCCCTGAGATGGGCAATGTCTCAGTACTCTCGATGAAAGCTTTGAGAGTGAATGTAGAAACCGATCAAATGCGATGTCTTATGCGTTTACCTCTAACCCGCTCTGCATGCGTCCTAAACGCTCCCCATCAGAACCCCTACTCCACGACTCGAAATAGAGGAAAACAAGGGTCGCAAAAACAAAAGCTTCGTGCGTCACACGCAAGTTTTGGGGTGCAGTATGTGAGTAAGCGACGCGCGTGACTGTTCTGTAGGATCCCTGGCAGAAACCGGCTGGCTGCAGAGCAGGTGTCCCAGAACTAAAGACCTCTTTATTTTGTGTGTCGTACACGGTTATGAGAGGTTTTGCCCAGACTTGTACCACAGCCGACAGATGCTGGTCCAGAATCGTAGGGAGCCGATTCCAGAATCACGGGTTGGAACAGGACGGCTCTTTAATTGGCGATAGTACCAAGCAATCCAGCTAGAGCTCAGATCCGAGCACACTCTACTCAATATGATTGTTATCTCGTCCACAGGGCTGCAAGGCTCGCGCAAGTCCGGCGCCACAGAAAAATTCCAGTCAGAATTCTGATGAGTGATGACGGACCGTCGTCCACATGCACTGACACCATCAAATTAACTATTCGAGGGAATCTCCTCTCAAGGATCACACTAGTGGAAGGTTTTGTGTGGCTGAGCGAGGTCGGCGATAAGACCGATGGATTGTGATGGGTATGAAGGAGGAGGATCTGCAGCTTAGTGATGAGATTAAGATGAAGAAATCAATGAAGAACAATCTCATCTGCAAATTTTTTCTAGAAGCAATTTGACGAAGGGACTGTCTGTTGGTAAAAAGCGGCTGCAGACAGAAGGAGTGAAGGATTCGGAGACTCGGGTGGTCGACGGTCGGAGGTCACGTCGATGAGAAGCTCAACCATTCCGGACTTCCCAGCTGTTCATCAGTTAATGGAACCATCTTGTTTGAGTGAAAAGAACCACCGTACAAGCAGGAGTACAGGAACCCTTTCTTTCAAGAATATGTGCAGACGTTTTGTAGTCGACGGCCTGACAATAGCACTGACAGATTGGAATGACGTTACCACTTCAAACTACCCATCGACATGTTATCTGTGGAGACGAGATGCTGCTGATAGATATGAGTGGTGACTGCTGGGATCCGGTGGAGATCATTTCCTGCTGTACGACTGGATAATTGTCTACCTTAAGATAGGTACGACTGTTAGATACTAGTAGGTATCTACATAGCAAATAAAAAGCAGAGGTGCCTGAGGTCTTCTTGCATCGACAATTCCTGCGCAGCCTTGTTCGGGTATAATCGCCAGTTCTTGCTCTATAATCTTGCTGCTGTCTTGAGCAATGCAGAATCTCTGCATTTTATCTGATGCTTTTGAAAAAAGTTATGTCCTTTTTGAAGGAGTCTGAATGGACATGAGGCATGGGGCCTACCTGATCATACAACTCCTCAGAATCAGCTATGAAGGAAGAAATGCACAGATTATGAGAAACATAGTGAATGGGATATCGCACATCCACCAGACACCATACAATGGAATACACCTGGGATGAGATGCGCACCAGTGCATGCAAATATCTCAGCGCAGGTCCAGCATCTCCCCAACACCAGGATGCGCTGCGTTGTTTTGTTCTCTTCTTTCTCCCTTTTGTCTCTTCCCTGGAAGGATGAACAGCACACGCTGCATCTCAAAAATCCTCAGAACAGCTATACTGGGTATCATCACTCAAGGAGCAGTTTCACTCCGCATTCGACATGGAGAGCTCGAAGGAGGAAGGTCCTCCGTCGGGGATTCAGTCGGATCCGCTTATGCTACCAGGTCTCTCTATATCCTTGTTCCATGAACACCGGGTAAGAAGTGTCTTTCTGGCCCACTTCCTTTTGTCTCCATAAGGAGTAGAATGGTTCTGACGAGTTGAATCAACAGGAACAATTTCGCATAGCTTTGCACCCCTCGGACTTGGCTGAGCGCTGCATGTAAGTTCTCAAGCAAAGGATAGAAGCCTCTTCGACTACTGACAGGTCTCAGCTCTGAAAAGACTCTCTGGGAAATCACCATGGTGCACGTCATGAACACTATCACAGATGAGCCAAGTTGGGAGAAAAGGGTGAGAGTCGTGGGTCAAGTTCTGCTCCCAGAAACATGCTGAAAGTAGATTTAGATCTTTGACGAGAATTGTGCAAGAGAATGGCGCCAGAAATTCCTCGACGTCTACAATGGCCTTAGCCCCGAGATGATGGATTGGGTCATCGAGGAGGTTAAGTTCAAGGCTGAAATATTCCTCAAAAAGGGAATGGTCACTGCGTTGGACGGAGACGTGGTCAAATCCGACTCTGCTATCACTGAAGATATCAAGCTTGCCCTCCAGGCGGCTGTGGAGCCTCTGGAGGATATTGCTGAGCATGACAAGGACTATGAGCCCGGCTCGGGAGGGCAGATCGTCAACTTGGTTGATCCGTCGCTGTTCGCACTCTCTTATAGTCGTAGTCAAGTACTCCCGGACAGAGTGATCGGACTCGATGACTATCTTTCCCATTCAGGAAGGGCCAAAATGCTGGAAGTGAAGTGGGAAGAGCGCGATTCCTTCACCGTAATGAATAACGGCAGAACCAGAACCAAGCGCGAATTCCTTGACTTGTTCTCTGCATATAGTCTCGATTACCAGTGGCTGCCATGTGAGATCAAGTTCAAAGACGCTACCGAGGGCTGCCGTATTGCGTCCTACATCAACAATCTGCGCCCCGATCACCATCGCCCGCTTTACGATACACTCGAACGGATCATCGCAAGCGCCATTCCTCTGTGGAACATGAGTTTGACACCTCTGAGATCCGAGCGACTACATCGCCGAAATCGGATCAAGTTCGAGCGAATTGAGTACCTCCCCAACTCCGAATCGCTACGTGAAGTTCTGGAGCTTGGTGACCAGGTTGACTTTGAGGATATTTATGACCGTCTCTGGGAAAGAGAGAAGTCTCGTCCCGTTAAGCCTCCAGAGACCGGGCCCTTGAGTCTCTGGCTAGATCGACTGAGAGGCGAGAATCCTATTGATCTTCGAACCACATTCCGTGACAGAGGATTGCAGGTCATTGTGAAAATGGCCAACATCGAGTTGACACCTGAGACGCCAACATACATCGGGACTCCCTGGCATTTCGAGGGGCTGTTGGTAAGTCTTATTGCCCCAAGTTCTCTGTTTGCCATCTGTCCCATGACAGGCTGCATGATTTGCACAAAGCAAGAGAAATCCCATGCTGACAGAAAATCTCAGAATGAGCATATCTGCGCAACGGCCATATACAACTATTCGTGCGAAAACGTTACCGCTCCCACAATCAGCTTCCGTCAGAGACTTTCGCTGGACTGGCTCCACGAGAATTACTTTGACAAGGGATTCGGTCTCCCCTGGTTGCCACAGGTCTTCGGGTGCGATGAGGAAGAAAAGCAAGTCGTGGTTCTGGGCGAAGTCTCCTGCCCCGAAGGCCGTCTCGTGACCTTCCCAAACATGTTCCAAACCAGCCTCGCTTCCGTTGACCTCGTCGATCCGCGTAAACCGGGTCATTGCAAGTCACTGGTGGTGCATCTTGTCGACCCTTATGTCCGTATCATCTCGACCGCCAACGTTCCTCCCCAGCGGGCGGACTGGTGGGATGGCTTCAATATCCGGAGAGATGTTCTGGCTCAAAAGGGACTCCCCGTAGAGCTGCAGGATATGGTGCTGGATTACCTTGAACCATACCCTCTCACAATCGAAGAAGCCCGCGAACTCAGACTAAACCTCCAGAGAGAGAGGAACCGTATCAGGAGGGAGCAGACTGAAAAGCTCGAGAAGTGGAGGTTCTGATGCCCCGTATCTCGGTCCTTATTAGACGTCGTCTAGCGTTTTGAATAGGCATGAGCCGAGGTGCTTGCTTCGATCAATTAGCGTTGCGCAGTATTCTGGTCAAGGGAAATGCGGTTGGAGGGACTGGTGTTATTGTGGTTTATTGGGATAAGAGTTGCTTGAATGGCTTGGGAACAGATTGAACTTGACGGAAGGGTATCTGCTTCAGGAATGGCCACCTAGGCAGTCAGGAGATGACGAGTGAATAGCGATAGCCGAGAGGAAATCCACAAGCGAATTCGAGTGCACACCTAGAACAAGGCATCAATGCCATTTAAAACAACGTAGATCGGCGTCTCATGCCACCGTTGTGTCTTACTCGACGCGTGATCCACATCACCAGGATAGACGCCGGGTATCTCTTCAGCGCATGGCTGGTTGCAGCTATGTGAGATATATCCAGGCGCATGCGAAAGCTTACGAGTTCCATTCAGCTGCGGTATAGAAGTAGAAACCATAGCCAAGTTCTTGTACTGGCCCAGCAACTGATAGGAATCATAAACAGAGAACAAAAGTATTTCCAGTCCCTATATGCGTAACTTCATATCATTGCCACAGCAAAGCAAGGTGGCATAACCCATAGAAATCCAGCCATAGAATCCCGCCCATTGAAACGCCAGACCGGGCCCGCTAAATTTGACTGTAAGACAGATGGCAAGGAGGTATACACATAATATGAGGGTAAATAGACAGAGAGCGTTTCCCGAGGAAAGGGAATGATGGTTCAGTGTAGGAAAAAAGACAGGTAGTAACGAAATCAGTGATCACCGTCCGGCCTCGAGGCATTGTCAGCCTGATTGCCCACAGCGGCGTCGTAGCTCGGTATCGGTGGTGAGTTCTGATTTGGCAGGTCCTCTGTAATGTCACTACCTCTTCGACTGCCGTCCGGGCTTGAGTACTCGGGAGGCGGACCCTGATCAAGATCGCTTGTGTTCAATAAGGGGGTTTGTTCGTCAGCAATGGTGTTAGCATGACTCGACCCTTCACCCACGTCTTCGTGGGAGGGAATATGCGCAAGTGGAGCGAGAGAAATATCGGTAGGTGATCGGACCGGGCCGGGACTACGAGAGGGTGGGATCCTGACGGTCGAGTTTGTCCTTGCGTCCTGATAGACCCGCTGTGAGATCTGAGCAGCGCTCTCGCGACCGGACTCAAGGAGGATGCTGCCCTGCTCGCTTCCATATGGCGGCGGAGGTGCCAGGCTGCCTGTCATGGGAGCCAACCCCCATTTTTTGACGTTGGCTTCGATGAAAACAAATCCCATCTGACCAAAGTTCACATGCACGGTGCAAGGACCATTGGCGCCAACGGTAGGGAAGAAATTCTGTGTCTTGGCCCCATGGACCACATCCTCTAATTTCTTGCCGTTGCGAGTGAAGAAGATTGTGCCGGACCGTGGTCGGTACCCTACGCCAAGCACATCGCCTTGCGCTAAAGGAGGGCCATAGGGTGTCGATGAGAAGGGCTGGTTATACCGGCGGTGACCCGTTGATAAGTAGGCGACAGAAGTCTTGTGGAAGCCTGATAAAGGACAAAATGTGTTAGCAACAGGATTGCGGGAGAGCTAGCGATCAATATTTGGACATTGACACACCTGGGAGTCGAAATAGCGGATACGGTTTTGTGGTCATGCCAATGCTGATGAGAGTGCTTTCTGGTTTATCGTAGATCTTCGCTTCCCAGTAATAGACGTCATTCTGCTTGGGAACAGGCAAGTTGGTCTGTACGCTGCATTCCGAATCATAGAACTCAATTTCCGTCCGACCTTCGACAAAACAATTGGCAATCTCCAACTCTGGTTGGAACTCCCATGCCGAGACACCCTTCTCCTGTATCGCAAGGAATTGAGATAACGAAATGTCGGTCTGCGTCGACTCGGGCGGATTGGCCTCTACGAACGCTGGCAACCATCACAGTTAGCATCGATACGTCGTGCGGTCGATATTCTGCCGCAAACTTACACTTCGCTCTCATATATTCCGATCGCGACAAATCATCCATGACCTCCAAGGCTTCCGCCTCCTCGCGCGCAAACGCCTGCTCATCATCGAATTCACCCGGTCGCCCAATACGATCAAGAATGATCCGGCCACGTCGGGTGTACTTGAAGAAGAAAAAAACAGCGAGAACGACGACAGCAACAGTCGCAGAGCCAAAGGCAGACAGGACGCCGATCAAGATACCCTTGCCGGTCGAACCGGAGGAGTTGCCACTGACGCCAACCAGGCCGCCATCACTCTGCGACGTTAATGACAACAGGACATGTTCGACATTTTTGGCGACGACATCTGCGTCTGTAGACGGGAGAGGAGTCGAGCCCGATGGAAACGACGTCGGGTTCCTTATCACGGAAGTGGTGAGAGTTGAGGGAGCACCGAAGATAGCACCAGGCCCCGATGCCTCAGATCCCCGCATCATTCATTGACTTGACCGTCGGGTCAGAGTCGACTGGCTTTGTTCTTATGATGTTCAGATAAGGGAGACAGAATTAATTACAGAAGATGAATAGACAAGCAAAACGTGCGAAAGAGAAGATGGACGAGAGCAGGGAAAAGATGGAGAGAAGGATGGGAGAGAAATGGAAGTCGAAGTCGAGAGAGCGAGAGAGCGCCCAGCTGGGTGGAAGCCACTTGCTGTCTGTAGGTATGTAAGTTACGAACAAGGCCAGTCGATCAACAGAATGACGCTTTCGGGGAGATAAGATGCATTCGGAGTATATCTATGCAGCAAATCAGCCAGGATCAGACATTCTCCTACATTTAAATGTTCCTGTTCAGATAATATTTCAACCATTCTGCTAGTTCCTTCTTGCGACAGTTTGAGCTCTAATTGCTCTTGGTCTTTCAAGTTCAGAAATGCAGGGTCCTCTGAGCAGGGATGGATTGCGGGTGTCTGCCTTTCGTATCTGTGGCCGGTAACTTACGGTAAGTACAATACCTCCTGCGTCGATGACGGCGTAAGTCGGAGGATGTGCTAGATACGAGATGGCGGCGGCACTATTGATGGACAGATATCTTATGCCCAAGAGAGAGTCTCCTACATTGCATCCTCGATGCCAGCCCTTGGTCGTTGCGACTCCTTGCCTTCCTGCTTTTGGCGGCCTCAGATACTTCCCTCTGACACCTTTTGCCCCCCTTCGCCCTTCAGTTAGCTACAGAGAAGATGTGTGGCTCAGGGCGGTCAGATATCGTTATCAGTGCTGTTGACGCCCTTGATATCCGCATTGCCGTGACCAGCAATGACTGCGATAAATATCCAGGTTCGTAGGACGCTGAATCTCCTGGATTCCATCCCGCTCTCTGCCCCTTCTGTCTTTCTTTCTCAGTGCTTCTGTCTCACCGGTCCAAAACTTAAAAGCGCGAGGCTGACGGAGCCGCGGCGCAGCAAAACAACATGCTCGCAGAGTGGCTGCGAAGCTTGGGGTCTCAGCTGGTCTGATCTACCTTGTCGGTCAGCCTACAATCAATTGGGGGGATTCAGATCAACCACGTCCGTTCCGACAAAGACGATACTTTTACTACCTTAGCGGGGTGAACGAGGCGGACTGCTATCTGACATATGATGTCAAGAATGACCTCCTGACGCTCTATGTGCCCGATTTCGACTTGCACCGCGCCGTATGGATGGGCCCAACTTTGACAGTGGAAGAGGCTCAGGAACGGTACGATGTCGATCAAGTGCGGTACTATGCGTCTCTCAAGGGGGACGTCCAGCGGTGGGTGGACAGCTACAACAAGACGAGTTTGTTATATATACTCCATGATACCCAGAAGCCCCAGGTGTTGTCACACGAACTGCGCTTAGATGACGAATCGCTGTTGCCCGCCATGGATGCAGCCCGGGGCATCAAGGATGAGCATGAGATTCGGATGATTCGAGAAGCGAACAGGGTATCTGCTTTGGCTCACCGCAAGGTGCTCGAAAACGTTCTCCGAATGTCGTCAGAGGCAGAGATCGAAGGTCTTTTCCTGGATACGTGTATCTCCCATGGAGCGAAGAATCAGGCATATGAGATCATCGCCGGGTCAGGGGAGAATGCGGCCGTCCTTCACTATGTGAAGAACGACGAACCGCTTCAAGGAAGACAGCTGGTCTGTCTGGACGCGGGTGCCGAGTGGAACTGCTACGCCAGTGACGTAACCCGAACCTTTCCCCTGGCCGCCGACTGGCCCACTGCGCGGGCCAGGGACATCTACTACTTGGTAGAAGAGATGCAAGAAGAATGCATCAAGCGTATACAGAAAGGCGTGCGATTTCTAGACCTACAGGTCCTTGCGCATGTGATTGCAATTGAAGGATTGATACGACTAGGCATCCTCAAGGGCGGCTCGGTAGAAGAGATTCGCGAGTCCGGGGCATCGACCGTCTTTTTCCCGCACGGGCTAGGCCATCACGTCGGACTCGAAGTGCATGACGTTTCGGCGAAACGGCTCACAGCTTTGGAGGGGGACAACGAATACTACGGCTCGACTTTGGTGCCGTCTATGAGCCATTGTCCCTGTACACTTTCCGCACCATTATTGGAGGAAGGTATGGTGGTCACAGTCGAGCCTGGCATCTACTTCTCCCGACTGGCTCTGGCGAATGCACGGAAACTGCCCTATGCGAGATATATCAACTTTGATGAGGCCGAGAAATACATTCCCATTGGCGGCGTGCGCATTGAGGACGATATCTTGGTGACCAGCTCTGGGTACGAAAACCTGACTACAGCTCCTAAAGGGGAGGAAATGCTAGAGATCATCCGTCGGGGGATCGACAATTAGCCGGCTCTAATTTCGGCTTCCGATGAAGGACGGTCTGCTGGGTCATGGATGGAGTATGGACACATTATTATTGTCACCTTGTTTCATCATTGTTGAAACAGTACATGAGGGCCTAGAATCGGGCTTCTGGCACTGGGACCACTTAATACCTACGTAACTTGTGCTTGCTGGTTGAAAGGGCCCGGATATACATGGACATACAGAAGTTTCCAACCCAAACCTGTTGACGGGAGTCGGATGGGATGGGAAATCACGCATGCACAATTCAGGTAATTCACTCGCAATAAGATGAACCCATCAACTAGTCATCCAGCTTTTCCATGAACAGAAGAGTCGGACCGTACGGCATGCCCAGATTTGCCACGCAGGTTGGCATTAATTTGGCGCATTGGGCCCCGAGCGGAGTTTTTCTTGTCTTGCTCCGTCCAGCTTTCCGAATTATCCCTTTCCCTTTGTCGGAGTCATACCACCTTTTCTGGGAAAGGGGGAGGAAATGAAATTTGTTAAAAAAAAATTCTGTCAGACCAGACGCGGCCATGAATCATCGAGCTTTTCGTTTCAGAATGTCTGTAGGAGAACGATGACTATCAGGAGTAATGAGAGCGATGCTTGCCGGGTCTCCTGATCGGTCTTAATATCTAGTTACAATAGACTACAATACGGCGTATACAGTCAACCTGTTGAATTCATTATTGACAATTTGACATCGAATACTCAATGGTTGGCAGATATCGCACAAAATTGCTCGATATGCTCAGAAGATGACTCCATAGTTAGGCATCATATTGTAAAAACATCGATGATTCGGGATGCTTCACGCAATTCTCTGTGCTGATTAGTCCATCTGTCACCATAAAATTTTCGCATTAGGTACCCCTGCTTTTACTTTTCAACCTTCTAGACTTGCTTTGTCTTTGTGCTACTGTGGATCTCCGTCAAGGTGGATCCGATTTTCGGGATGATGAGTTCTCACTCCGGCAGCCCTGCAGATTATTGCAGACTTGACGTGATCTCTGATGGGTTACCGGATTGGGCTGTAGTGAGTCACACCACAGCACCAACTCATCTCCAGAGCTATGCCTACCTTAGCTTTATATACCCTGCTCGTCTTTGTATATCATCTTTGATCTCCTGATCTTTTGTTTTCTTTTCTTCACCTCATCTCATCCTTCCCAGGGGGTGATGGTCACTCCCCTCTTGCTGATTCTCTAAAAGTTGTTTACTTCTTCTATATCCAGCTCGCCTATACTTTACTATTACCCACATCAACAGGAGAGGAGTTTAAAAAGTGAAACGAAAAAAATATCCTTCCTTCGTCCTTCATTTGAGCATCGACCTCGCCAATCCCCTCTCGAGAATGGGACAGAGACATAACAGACGTCGTACACGCCCAAGATCACGGAACCGCAGCTCCAACGCCGATTCATCCGATTCCTTTCCGCCCTTTACGTATTTCTTCGGCTCAAGCCTTCCTTCCGCATACTGTGTGAGCAAGTCCAGGGCCGCCTGCAGTTCACCGGACCGCTTCCCGATGCCCTCCGCCCAGACCTGGCATCAGGGGTATTCGGCATGGCAGGTGCGTGAACGCAAGTCGCCGCTGGAGGCAGAGCAGTATCGTCTTTTTGGAGGTGAACCGGGTGACGATGTAGACCTCTGCTATCGCATGCTGGAGTACTTTGGTGGTCTCGATTATATCGACCCGTGAGTTGCCCTCCTTGGCAGGCTTTCCCTTTTGAATTCATTCTGACTCATCTCGCCGTAGACCGGACTCCTTGAAGCTGCTACCTGGGTGACGCCGATGAATCAACCCGCCTCGTATCGCTGGTTTCGATTTTCTGTTCCCATCCGGGCATTGCGACGGAGAAGCGAAAAGCTAAAATCAAAATTTCAAACTGATGAAAACGATCGACCGCTATCGAACGCCACCATCCCTGCAGAAGATCTCGGCTTTAGCAGGACACAGCACAAGCGCCGACCCCCTTCCCAACTGGAGAGAGCACCAGTTTACATGGAACCCCCAAGTCATGACTTGCAGCAATGAAGATTCCCGTTGACCTGTTCTCTCCCTTTGAGTACAGCTGATCACACGGGTATTGGATTGGTCTACCAAACACTTGGCCATGTGATTCCTGGTACAGGATATTTCCAACGCGATGTCGCAATGCTCATTTCGAGAAAAAGAACAATGGCATGACCTGCCAGCCCGGCTTGTTTTTGAGGGTTGAATTCGCGTCCGACCTTCGAATGGTTGTTGATGCTTGAGTTCCCCGTAAACAAGCTTGCTGCGGAAGGCCACTTTTCTCAACGCGACAAACAACTTGTGAATCACAAGCTTGTCTGCAGTTATCACTGCGCCCAACAGCGTATGAAATTTTTCTGTCACATCAGTTTCGGAGGACAGCGCGGTTCTCCACCTCCACGGACCAGGTCCTGCATTTTTGTGCTATCGCACAGGACATACCAGGGTATCGAGGCTCGTTAGGCAGAAATAGAGGTCGAAACTGAATCGTTCATCGAGTCATGACAAACTGCGATGTCAGTATGTTCATGAATAACAGACCCATGTAATCTCTGTACAATAGAAAACAAGACCACATGGAGTTCCTTTCTCAAGAATCGATAAATAAATATCCTTTAATCACCGCGTCAGCATCGTCATCATCATCATCATTATCATCATTCGAGGTGTAAGGTTTGATGATGGAGAGAACAGCCTTGTGTTTATTGAGGGTCCAGCTAAGCCATAAGAGGAAGGCGGTGTTAAATACTCTCCCCCCGTAAAGGACACGGTCAATCACAAGTTGAGCCATCGCTGAATGATATGATAACCGTGTCTACTTGCTTGGGATGCTGCATGCTGGACAGCATTTTCCCTTGTCCTTTCCACTCCTTTGTTACATCTCTGAAGAGACCATGCTTTTGGAGGCGATATCTTGATTTGTTTTGACGACAGATATCATTTTCCATGAGAGATCTCTCTCATAGCTTGCCTTCCTTTTTGCTAGTCCAATACCCCAGCGTCACTGAGGGCGACCGTGTCCGCAGTGAAATACACTCACCATGTCTACAGATTACAATTATGATGAACAGGTAGAGAGTTTCGCCTCGAATCCATGCTTCTGTTCTTGGCAGCTCATACTCATCATCTGTCTAGGGACAATTTTTCCCGTTCTTCATCCTGACTCTTACCGGCCTCGTCACCCTCCCTCTCACATACAACCTTCTCAAGCCGAGCAAGGGTGAGTCGCAGAAGTAGCTAGGAAGCATGAACGAACTCAGGAATGACTGACTGTCTGTATTCAGAGCTCGAGAATACCGCCCCCCGGATACAATCAGACTACAAGCCACAACATGGCGATCTCATCGAAGCGCAGAAGCGGAAACGCCTGCGCAAAGAACGCCGTATCAAGCGCATAGTGACCGTGATCGCAGGCTATGCTATCATGGCATGGATGGTCTATCTTATCATCGTCACTGCGAGAACCGTACCCAAGATCTGGGATCCATACGAAATTCTGGGTATCTCAAGGGTATGAAATACGGTGCAAACCCAGCAGTTGTTCGCAAGAGCGAAGGGTGCGGATGATCGCTAACTTGTTTCACTTTTCTAGAGTGCGGACGAAAAAGCCATCTCCAGACACTACAAGCGTCTTTCTCTCATCTACCATCCTGACAAAATCCGCCCTGATCCCTCTAAGAACGAGACCATCGAGACTCTCAACGAGCGCTTCGTTGAACTGACCAAGGCTTACAAAGCGCTGACAGATGAAGAAGTGCGGAATAACTACATTCAATACGGCCACCCCGATGGCAAACAGAGTTTCAGCATCGGCATTGCTCTCCCCAAGCTTATCGTCACAGAAGGAAATGGGAAATACGTCTTGTTGGTCTACGGAGCTCTGCTCGGTGTTCTGTTGCCTTATATCGTCGGAAAGTGGTGGTATGGATCTCAGCGCTACACCAAGGAGAAAGTGTTGGTCGCAAGCGCCGGCAACATCTTCCGGGAATACAAGGACGACATCACCGATGGCGGTATCATCAATGCACTGTCTTCCGGCGTTGAGTTCAAAGACATGCTCAAGGGCTCCCACGCAGAAGCTGGACTTGCGAAACTTGAGAAGAGGGTTTTGGCTGAAGGTTCGATACTGGCACCTGAGACTCGGAAGGCTCTTTCACAAATGGACGATTCCACCCGGCGAAAGGCGCTCGCATTACTGTGGGCTTACTTGGGCAGAGTTGACTTGGAGGATGCTACGCTGAATGGAGGTGAGATATGGCTTTTCTGTATGGCTGAAAATCAGTCCGCTAACGAATACTTGTTTCTTTTGCAGAGAAATACGAGGCTGCTCCAATTGCCCTGTCTCTGAACGAAGCATTTACAGCCATTTCCCTCGCCTTTGGTAACCTTCATCCTATTCTCGGCTCCTTCCGCACATCCCAGCATTTGATCCAAGCCGTTGCTCCGGGCTCATCGCCACTGTTGCAACTGCCACACTTCAACAACGAAGTCATCAAGGCTATTGAAGGTGCAGATGCCAAGGATCATTACACCGTGCAGAAGTTCATGAGCTTGCCCGAAGACAAGCGGCGCAGCCTGACCATTGGTGCTGGTCTTCTGTCCGAGAAGCAGTACTCGACAGCCGTGTCCGTCGCCAAGCAACTTCCTGCTATTGAAGTCTCCAAGGCCTTCTTCAAGGTCATGGGAGAGAAGGTCATTACCCCAAGCAGTCTGGTGCAACTGGTCGTGAAAGCCCGGTTCATCCCTCCCGGCTCCACCAACGTCCCGAAAGTGAACCCCGCCGAACTGGAAGACATCGACCCAGATGAGGACGACCTCGACGCTCTCATGGGCCGAAAGCCCCCCAAGAACAGACCTACCAAGGTCGTCAATGGCCAACAGGTCGAGAACAAGATCGAGACTATCCAACCCCCACTCGCTCACGCACCCTACCTGGCTCGCGACCACTCTCCTCGCTGGCACATTTTCCTGGCCGATGCAAAGCAGGGCAAGATGGCCGTCCCCCCTTTTACCTTCACCACCTTCGACAAGCCCCTGTTCGACGAGGCAGGCAAGCCCACGTTCAACGTGCAAACTCTCAAGATGCAGTTCCAGGCCCCTCCTCAGGTAGGAGACTTCACTTTTGTTATGCACATGCTGTGTGACAGCTATCTGGGTCTCGACACAAAGCTGGACATCACGCTACATGTCGACGATCCGGCCAAGGCGGCTGCTCTCGAGGAAGAAGACGACATCAGCGAGCCCGATGAAGGTATGTTCTATTCGCATTGATTTTTCTGCATTGTCAAGTCACTAATCAATCTCGGTGATAGATTCTATTGCTGGTCAAATGCAGGCCCTGAAGACCGGCCAACCGCCCAAGAAGAAAGCACGGAAGCCCTCTGACGAGTCTAGCGAGGAGGAGAGTGATACGGATGGCGATGCGGGAGATACCAGCGACACGAACACAGAAACTGACGTTGATGATTAAGGATGTCTTATGCTGACAGTCCAGATGGGACATTTAAGTGCAATAGAAGCAGAAAACCATCATTAATGTCTCCGTGGAAATGATACACTCAGTCAATATGAGTCTCGGGTTGCGTCCATGTCGCCTCATTTGACCATGTAGCGTTGGCACTTTGTTTCTTTCTTTCTTTCCAAAATATCTATCCGCGCAATGGGCTTGTCCGCTCCTGGAGTTATTTCCTGTACTGTACATGTTAGATCATGCATTTAGTCTGGGAGTCGAATCAAACGTTCTGGTCCTTCATCCTTCATGTACTGTTAGTTCGCAAGGCACCAATTTGAAATCTCTATTGTTGATGGTCGAACAGTCCGACCAACAATACAGCCGGGCATCTCTTGAGGAGTTCTCAGGCTGATGGATCGGAAGGCTTCACCCCGCAGGAAGTAATGTCCCGACCCAGGCCGAGATGACCCATGTATGAATGTGTCCTTTTAAAGAGACATATCTCAGAGCAGAAGCGGTGACATAATACTCAACAGGCGGATCATCAGCCTGGAATATTCCCTGCTCATGTAGACAAAAACGAACTGCATTTGGATATCTGATGATGGTATCTCAGGGCCTTAAAAAAACTAAGCGATAACGACGGCGTAGGCCATGCACAATGATGAGCACCAAGAGGTGGCGTGAGAAGAAGAAGAAGAAGAGAATGAGAGGAGCTCGGCTATGGACGTCAAGGTCATCTAGGGAAGGTGGAGAAAAAAGACGTATAGATCAGACAGAAGAGGATCGGCAGGGGAGGGGGAATATTGGCTTCCCGTGACCCCGAACAGACGTGCTAATCGTGTGGATAGGACCAGCCTGGGAGAAGAGGCGGATGAAGAGACTGTTGCTCTTGCAGGTGGTCATCGAAGCCCCCAAGCATATTAACAGGCATCTCGGCAGCGGATGCAGGCTGTTGAAAACCAGGCCCGGCAGTCACGCGAGAGCCAAGCGACTCCTTCGCATCTGCGTTACAAGTATCTAGATAGTAAAGGTACGGATGGTTATGGCCGAGCACAGTTGTTGCTGTGCCCAGACATGCAGTATCATCAGCGAGATTGTTGGACCGAGCCAGCGCCAGCCCAGAGAAATCCTGGTTTGGATAGCTGTGATACTGCTCTGAACGGACAGTTTGAATCGAAGGAAAGTTCCACTTCCAATCAGCCCCTACAGGGGAGAGGTCGACGGGACTGCAGTTGCTCGACGAGGGCTCGGGGGGAGTAGCTGGTTCTGGAGAGGGGTCTGTCGTTGCGCTGCATTCAGCCGAAGTGGACAACAAGCGCAGATACTGTAGATCTTCTGAGTCTTCGTTGCTGTCTTCAGGGTTTTCCTCAGCTTGCTTGATCAGTCCCAAACGGTCCAAGATAGCGTGCGTCAGGGGGTATCCATCAGAAGCTTCGGGAAGAGGCTCTCCAGGGAATCCATCCTTATTCAAGCAGAGTTTGTAGAGTTTCTGCAACGCCTTGACGACTAGTGAGTGATGCGATTCAAGCATCTCAACGAATCTGTGCAGGCAGACAAGGCTCGTCAGACTCAATCTCCTTCAATCCACCAACACCAAGAGGAGGCAAAGCAATGAGCGTGAGAGAAACGCGTGAGAAAGCAGTTAAAATGGTCTCACCCTCGGGAGTAGACTTTCGTCTGTGTAGCTTTCCTCTCTCGGAAGAGGCAGGGGTGGTTATGCGCTGAGCAACGGTTGCATGGCTGTTTCCCATCACACTATTATAGATGAGCATGACTGAAAGTCCTATGTCCTGGGGGAACATCGTTCCAAGAGTCTTCTTTGGCACCAACCTTGGTTTTCTTGACTCTGCAACGATCGCAAGCTTTCAGGACATGCTTTCGCTTGACTCGGAAAACTCGCTGTTCCGACTTCTCTTCGCCTGACCCAGACCGAGGTTCCGGCTGCGATAATGACGCCAACGATGCGAGATCACAGAAGGCATTGGGATAACCCGGTATGTGCGATTTTGGACAGAGCTTCGGTTGCCGTGACATTTGGCTGGTTGCAACTGCTGTGAGAACTACCGTGCGGTCTGAACCAAACAGTGAAGGTTCGCGTGTCGCTCAGACAAGACAGTGAGCTCAATGGCCACGCCTGACTAATCACTAAAACAGTATTAGAGATGATGAAGGAGGGGCAGATGTCTGATTGCAATGGAGGAGCAAGCAGGTGGGGCATATGAGCGCGAGAAACGGCGACATCAGAGGAGAGCAAGGGAGGCTGAGAGCGCCGGTGGGCATTATACATATCGAGACAATGTCCGACAGAAGAAACATACGTATTGTAATAGCCCCGCATACTAGTCCCCCACCCTGATGTACACCGCATAGATGTTGCTGATGACGTGGAAAACAATCAATCACGATGTTGACCGGCACGGGTCGTTCGACGTCCCTCACAGCGCTGTGGCTGTGTCAGATACATACACCAGGAGCCATCATGGCGCCAACTGGTCGCATAGCCTTATGTTCGTTGAACTTGCTGCCAGTCTGGTAACCTGGTAGAATTCGCCCATCATAACGAGCCAAAGACGGGCCTTGAAGGACGGTCCGAGCCGCCATAGCAAAAGGGGCAGTAAACATAGCATTGTGAGTCGGCACTGGCCGGATAAAACCCTTGTCATTTGGGCAGCGAAGCGCAGAAGACCAGGGTCAGGATCACCTTCTGACATTTTGCGGCGAAATGTCAGCGATAGGTAATACCTACCCTACTGCGTAAGTGCATGATCCTCATCTGCTTTCCTTCAGTTTTCCTCGCTGTGACACATACCTCGGGGTAATATGGCCCCAAAAAGGAGTCAGTCACTCCAGTGAGCTCGTGCTGCAGGACCAAAGGTTGATTCGAGCCGGTGAGGCATAATAGACGCCTATCGGTGATTTCAACCACTGTCATTGGTGAACGGATGGCCAGCACAGTCCCCAATCGCCATCGTCACACCCCGGCCATCGTATGTATGCAGTCAATGGGCGCGTGCCTTCGTCTGAGTTCAGTGTCATGCCAAGGAGGTATAGTAGCCAATTCAACGTTATTCATTTTTCATTGCATGGTTTTGTCGAATAGTCCATGTCGAAACCTGTATCAAATTGGGCGGATAGTTCACATCCTCGGACAAAGTCTGTGAGCTGTGGCATCATTTGCAGTTAGAGGGATACTGGCGAGTTAGACATCCATAGCCCCAACGCTATCAGCTAGGACAGACGGATATTGGGTTTCGCAAATTAAGTGCATGGACAATATCCGGGACAGGCAGTGACATTTCTCGCTGTTGTGTGATGAGTAGATGTGCCAGGAGCACGGAGGACAACAAGCACATCACATGATGAGGAATATCGAGTCAAACAGTCCGAAATGACTGGTAGAAAATGATACCAGATGAAAAGCAAAACTATAAAATAAAGCAAAAGCAGGGATTGTCCCAGTGATGACAAAATTGATGTGCATGAGCAGCCTCAGCCGATCAAGCCCTTATTCGATTGAAAATGTGCAGAGGGGCAGGGCGGCATGCTAAGACCGCATATCACTCTGTGATATATGGGCTCGTTAGGAAAGTACTGTGCATAGCAGTGACTGACACGTCTGAAATGCTATCGAATGCCTCTGGTGAGAGCGAAATCGACAAGGTGGCATAAGCACACCTTGCTCAATGCCCAGATGATCTTGCTGATCAGTAAATCGCCGGTGCAGGTTGATGGAAGCAAAAATAACGACAACCATTCAACACCAGCAGAGAGGGAAATCGGCTGAGGCAGCTGGAACTCTGTAGATAGTTTTCAGGAGACTGATCCCATCCCATCCTATCGGATACAAGTACATACCCCTCTCTTAACATGGTTGACTAAGGCCAGGGGAGGTACAGCAGGAGTACTCCATACGTTGTGTACGAATTGCTCAACCCAATTTTCCCTTCACTACAAGCAACGGCATCGTCTTGGACAAAGTATGCGATAGTCTTACCTAAGACAATCGAGAGTGATAGAAGAAGCATTTCCAACATTGAGACGCGCACGAGGAAAAGCCATGGGGTTGGGTGCTTGCAGTAGTTTCACCTTCCTGCAGCTATGGCACTCAGAGCTCCAAGAACGAGGTCTAGGAGCGAGGGGTTGCCGATGAAGACCCCTCATTTAGCAATTCGATGGAAGTGAGATGAATAATCGGGACTGCAGTACTCCGTAGATGATTATTGTATTGTTGCAGATGACACTTGAGTATCGCAAAGATCCAACCGCCAGGACTCTGTTGGAAACGTGGCGGTGCTATCAAGTCGAGAAACGGCGATCAGGACCGTACAGGTTCGTCCCGACAATCTACATCGATTGGTCCTTGTAGGATGTTCCTCCGCCTCGAAAGTTGAATTTTAGTACGCTTTCAGACGAACCAACTGTCGAGACTATCAAGTATGAAAGCACAACTCAGAGATGAGGATGAGAATGATAGTGGGGGGAAGGGGGGAGAGAGACGGAGACAACTTGAAAATGTGGGTGATCCCCGAAGATGGCAGGTCCCAGCTCCAACAACCCCCTCATCGTCAGCAGCAGCAGCAGCAGCAGCAGCAACTATCTCTAGTCTGATCCTTCAAAGTATCAAACACCAGAGAAAATCAATAAATGACAGATTCATCCATAAGAAGTGATGACCTGAATTGGTTACATGGACCAGTCCCATGATTCTCACAGCAGTTGGTCTGTCAAGTCCCTGTGTTCATGCCATCCTGCATTCTGAATCGAGTCATCCTGGTATTGCGTGCATGAAATGACATAAACAAGCATATCCAACCTTACACCAAGAGCTCATAAGACGTGTTTGCAAGGGAAGTGGATGCTGATGATCGGGCTGATAATCTACCGGCTACTCAAGCCGAATAGTGCCCAGATAGTGAGCATGGCAGACTCAGACGGTGCAATGACTGGTGCATTCGAGTTTTCAGATGCGCCATGATCGTTAGCTATAAATGCCATTTTAGTTAGGGCCAGGGTTGCAGGAGAAATCTCGTTCCCACAGATACATGTCAGCCAGGGTGATGACTTGAGCATCTCGATTTGGGCCAGACACAATGTAGGTCGTTTCTCTTTCTCTCGAAGACAGCACAGCCAGAATGCTACCCTGTCAAAAATATCACATTAAGGTTGACTCAAGTAGCACACATCAAGAGCCAGGGACAAGGCTCCAATACCCTCGACAGCATGACCGGATCAATGCCCAATGACTGAAATGGGCGATTGTCGGAGAAGGCTGGAGTATGTCAACCTGTCATCCTGCCTTTGTTACTTGCCCGAGGGCGAGGTAATGCTTCTGTGCAGCAAACACCGACGCGAACTAGAAGGAGGAGATGGAACGAAGAATACCAACATTGAATCGTTGATCGACATGCTCGAAAGGAGATACAATAGAGTACATTATCACCAGAGACAATATCAACCATCCAGGAAGAATGACCCAGGCCGAAAGCGGTTCGCGCCAGCCATTCAGAGGCCTCAAAAAAAGGTACTTTGTTTGCTAATTTAGGCTCACCTGTCAGGCATCCTCGTTTTACGAGCGGTCACCTGGAAGCACAACACTTGCCTCACCAGCAGCAAGCAAGTCGAAACTTTCCTCGCTGGTGGCTGTCATAGGAGGACTCGGGCCTGATACATCCTCCAGATTCTTCTCCTCGAGACTCGACAAGGCAGCAGCTCGACGCCCTGAAGTCGCCTGCCACCGCTTATCTCCGATCCATTCGAGGCCATCACCAGCTCCACGAATATCTACCCGGCGACGGAGCTGTTCACGCTCCGAAAGCGGGAAAACGGTTGAGCCTGCTGACGCCGTTTCTTTCTCGTCGCCAGACAAGGGTAGGTGGCGATGATGCCATTCCCCAAGGAACATGCCGTCAGCATCTACTTCCTTCCGCACTCTCAGCCACTCATCCATGTCCTTGCCATAGAGCTCACGCAGCTCCTGGCGTCCTGTTTTGAAGTTCTTGGCCCAGTGTGGCTTCGCGCCCATCTCCCGCATGAGCCACTCAAACGCTTCGTAGTAGCGATCCTTGCATGGGGGATCGCGATGGTATGGACGGTAGAGAGTCGCATTGAGATACAAAGTAGGCCCATTAGGATAGGTGGGGTCGAGGAAGGGGCGAGGCTTTCCCTCATAGGTGGAATCTGCGACTCTAACTTCAACAGGGCAGTGTACCCACAGTCCATCAACAGAGAACGGGATACGAGCGGTTTCCATGTCACCGTGAAGCCAGGCCGACAAGCGCGTGATCGCTTCCGGGCCCTTCGCGAGAGGGAGTGCCCATTCATTGACAAATTGCGAGTACAGACAATTCATCAAGAGACCCTCACGGGCAGGCTCTACGGCTTCCGTCACCGTCTTCTCCGCCTTGAACCCATACTGCAAGCCAAAGACAAACCATTCGACCCAGGGAAGGATACGGGGGAAATAGTTGGAGAGCGCTAACAGGTTATGGTAGATATGATAGCCAATCCACTCCCCATAGAAAGTCTTGGGAGGTTTCCGCAGTGGCAAATCAGTCTTGTCCGCATGCCAGACAATCGCACTTTTCTCATACGGCATCCACCAGACACGCACAAACTCATGCGAAGTCCACAGACCGGAGGACCACTCGGCCAGCACGCTGGACAGTGGTCGCCTCATCTGCCTCCAAGCAACCTTGAACATCGGCTCAGCCTGCAGAGTGACCTCGACAACGATACCCAATGCCCCGAGAGAGATCAAGGCCGCGCGAAAAAGATCCGGATTACTGGTTGCGCTACAGCGCACCAGCTGCCCGTTGGCCAACATCAGAGTCAGCGAAATGATACATTCCGAGATCAGACCATGCCGCAGGGAACTTCCGTGGGTTCCCGTCGCAATGACCCCAGCAATGGACTGGCTGTCAATGCTGCCTAAATTCGATAACGTCAAGCCATAATCCTCCAACCGCCGACCGAGATCCCTCAACCGTATCCCAGCCTCGACCGTCACAACATGTGTCTCGCGATCAATGTGTAGAACGCGATTGAAATCGTCAAGATTGACCAACCATGAAGAAGTACAGGTCAAGTCGGACGGCGAATGACCGCTGCCGACGGTGACCAGGCGACGACGGAATCGACGAGCCAGCGTCACCAACTTCTGGATTTCAGCGATCGATTGCGGCCGGATATACAATTCAGGGCGCGAGTAGAACGTCTTAGCCCAGGTGTGATGCAGATGGTCGGAGGACGCGCGAAAAGCAACCACAGGGTCGAGCCGGGAGAGCTCACGAAGCATAGCGTCCATTTGGATGATTCGGGAGGCGATAAAAAGCTGAGAGGCTATGGCGGACTATTTGTACAAAAGGAACTTTTGGATTTTTTTTAAAGCTGATTAGTATAGACTTGCTGGAGTTCCAACTAGGGAAAGGACATTTGAGTCAGAGCATCAAGACATGATTAAGACGAATACTGGAGTTGAGAAAAATTGGAAAGAATCTCTGGTGAGATAGACAAAGACATTCACATGGCGCGATTATGGAATATCCGGTTCAGATGGCGATTCGGGGGGGAAAAAAAAAAAAAAGAAAAAAAAGAAGGTGAGAGGCGATAAAAGTGAGCTAACGGATAGTGGGCCACTTTCGGGCGATTTGATCGATCGCCGATGGTGATGAATTGTTGATTATTGAGTTATCACGACCCGATCCTACAACAATCTGGCCTTCATTAAGAATAATATAGATATCTTGCATTTGCAACTGCTCTCATATCTTGATCGATATCGCGCGGATCGGTACGGACTGCAGCGTGAACTTTACCCAGCACATCCGCCTGAAATATTGTACAGTCAAGCTCAAGGATGCTTTCGATACCACAAAAAAAAGGTCAAATATCAAAGTACATGCCGCCCGATCTAGAATATGCTCCATCCCAGGTTCCGTGGATCAGTCCTTTGTTTTCCGCCAAGCTCCTTATCTGTACAGACCAGACTATACACAATCCCACCATAAATTCAATCAATTATGAACCAAGAGAAAAAAAATACACCAACATCACCCGAGACTTGATTTCAAGAGCGAATAGACTCAATTGCCGCGTTTAGAGGAAACACTCGCGGACGCATTTGTCCAGAAGGCTTGCCCCATTTGCGAAATGCACTGCGACACGACTCGGGAAGTCCTCCGATGGAGACAAGGCTGTTGGGAATAAATGGTCGATCCTGGAGGGAAGCAGCCAGAATGCCATACTCGTGCGCAAACACTACTGCTGATGCGAATTCGGCAGGTCGTTGAGACGCTTGTTCACCAACAATACTACGCGCAAATCAATAAGTGCTCACTGGAGTCCGATCGCAATCACTTACACATAGATCTCAAAGAAGGTATCCAGGATGTAGATTCCTTTGGCCGTGATGTCTCTCTGGCAGAATGGCACAATTTCCTGAACAGTGTCATTTGGTCGAATCACAGGGGAAGCTGACCCCGACCGTCTTCGAAGCCAGAAACCGCCCGTTCGCTGACCCAGCTCGTGGTCTACTCGGAACAATCTCAGGCGATAATGGTCATGGTTCGGTTTCAGCCGCCAGTAATCTGAGCGCATGTACTCCTCGGCCTCTCGGTGGTGCGAGAAAACCTCGAAAAAGCTTTCGGGTTCTTCCCCTTCGGCCACCTCTTCGAATTCGCCCGTCAGACCGAGATCCATGCCAATGAGGCGGGCGGCGCCAATTTCCTCAGCAGTACTTCCTTTGCCCTTCCACAGGTATAATTTGCCAAACATGGCAGAGATTACATAAGAGAAGCCAGAGCAAAGATTGCTTCTTGAGAAGTTGACCTCGTCAAACACCATTTGACCAAGGTGCTTTCGTCCGCAGAGCATAAAGATGGCAGAAGAGCTGGAGCGAGAGTTAGCCCCACGGCGGGTGATGAGGATCCCACCAAGGGCTTGTATAAATCTGGAAGTCTCTTTGCCTTGCTTGATAATCTCTAGCTTGCAGCCGTTTTCCCTGGCGACTTTGCGGGAGAATGGCTGCGCATCGTCCATGGCCGCATCACTCACATCATCACCGCACCAAAGGTGGGTTTCAGAGCGTGCAATTCCTTCCGACTCAAAAACATGTACGCACAGGTACATACTTCCTTCGTAGAGAATGTATTCATGGTTAACAGGAAGGTCCTGCCTCTTCCCATCACCAGTAATTTCCCAAAGTTGCCTCTTCAGAGTTCTAATTCTGAGATCGTCGGACTTGCTAGTAAGCATCAATTGCGTGTCAATATTCACGCGGTCGTTTGAATTTGGCAAAGATTTGAAAAAGCCCGAAATAACCTCAAGAGATTCCTCGGCCTGGGGTACCAAAGACACTGATGATCTCGTCGATAAGGAGTGTTGGTCGGCAGAGATTTTGCTCCATTTAGAAGGAACAGGAGGAGAAGGCAATGCTTTTTCTCGAGAGTTTAGATCGATCAAACCACCAGATGCAAAGCTGTTTGGGGCTTTCTGCGGAGTTGCTAGAGGAGTCTGGAGTCGGTTCTCTCTAAAGCTTGTTCTGAGAGGAGAAGGGGACGGAGATGGATACTGAAGCGGAGAGCTCCGTATTTGCACTGAGACGGGTGACGAGGGTGGCATACTTGGCTTTGGCGGTAGAGTCGGTCTTCTCGAGGGAGAGTCTCCAAGATTTTCGATGTCCTCAAAATCGTCCTTGGGGAGAGGCGAAGGTTTCAAGTCCATCGAAGACTTGGAGCCCCGGTATGCGAGCTTTTGCTGGAGTCTACGCTCTATCAGATGCGGTATGGTTCGCTTGAATTCGGCTGGTTTTTCGGAGGATGAATAAGTCAGCGGAGGCAGGGTCGCCTCAGAGACTATGGTGCCAGTTGTTTCAGCGTCAGGGAGTGGCCAACCGACAGAGGTCTTCGCTATATCTTGGCTGGATGATGGCCTCAATACCATTTCATGGGTATCAGATGAAGAGATATTGTTCTCTGGAACGGTGGCAGCATCCTTGAGCAGCGACGTCGTTGATTCCGTGGCCGCAAGCTTGGGTAGGCGCCTTTTTGGGCCCCTCGCACGGTTCTTCGTCATATGGGTAAGAGGTGCAGCAGGTTGACTGTCAGCAAATTCGGAGCTACCTTCCCACATTGAGTTTGTCGACAAGTGCTTGTTTGAGCTCCCACTGATAATAGGAGGGCCGCGAGACAAAAGTCCCGCCAAGGCAGGGTTTATTCGGCCTACGAGTCGACCTTTAGTAGCGAGACCTTCAGTAGCAGCAGGCGCTTCTGCAGCCTCCGCAACAGTCCCCGATGGCAGAGCACGCACCGGTTTGATGGCCTCTTCAATCTGCTCGTCCCTCATCTCCGAAGTGTTCTCTGCGGTGACCGCTGTGTCTGTGGTCAACTGATCCTCCAAATCGTCGCCCTCGGTCTCCACATGTCCAGCCTCAGAAGATGCCAAATCTGCAACCTGGTCTTTCGGTTCATCGGGCTCTGGAACTGCTGTTGCGGTCTGCGTGCTCTGGGCCTCCTGCGCCTGATCGTCGTTACGCGGGGACAAAGGCGACTGCTGGTGATCCGGGAGACCATTCGGTGTTGGGCGGTCCTGAGATGATGGCGAAGTCAAGACGTCAACAGAATGGGTGCTCCTGCTACTGCTAGATTTAGACAGGTTATTCCGTTTCGCAATTGCTTCTGGAATCATTTTCGCAGGAGCATCAATTTCTCCGGCCGTGTTACGCCTCAGTGAGCCTCCACTCGCTCTGATTGCCTGTTTCTGCTTCAGGATACTTTCCTTCAAATCATCAACCTTTGGTGTCTTCTTAGGGCCGCCTGTCGCATTCAGAGCTGCTTTGCCCTTCAGGATATTTTCTTTGAGCTCATCCGGCGCGACGTAAGTCGAAGACTCAGCTTTCTTTAATTTGCCAAACACATTCTTGAACTCCGGTTCCTGTTTCGGTGCTTCATCTTTGATAATTTCTCGCTTTCGCAAATTGGCTCGGAAATCTATCACAGGAGATTGTGGCTTTGGTCTGTTCAATGAAGGGTCTCGGGGAGATGAAAGAGGTGGACTGATGTCAGTTTTGTTGATTGGTACTAGAAGGGAAGGTGCACGCTTGCGTGTTGGAGCATCCTCGGTCTTGCTTTCCGGTCCACCTTCTTGCTTTGTAGGGGAATCTTCAGGCTTCGTATCCACAGCTTTGCAAGTATCTTCTTCAACCTTGGGTGTAGCTTCAAGCTTGGGTGTAGTTTCAACTCTGGGTGTCTCTGCAGGCATGGATTCGGTATCTTCAGAGTGGGACAACGGCTTGTCCCTGGATTCCTTGGGTTTGTTGATATCCAGATTACTTGGTAGATCTGGGATCCCAGAAACACTTGAGGTCTTATAGTGACTACCAGGTGCAGCTGAGCGCATGAGACCGACCGTAGTGACTTCCTTGAAGCTATTCAAACGGCCCAGGTCGACACTTGCCCTTGATTGTCGATCTTTCGCCCATGTTTGCTGTGAGGGCTGCCTTTTGTGCTTCGGTGAGTCAGGTCGATTAAGAGCACTCTCCAGCCATGTCGATTTTGTGGGACTCCAGCGTCTGGGATCCATAGTCCTCGAGACTGCCGGGCTCGCTGAAGGCGACGAATTCGAGTAGGAGTCTTGTCCATTTTTGCTTAATGCACTGGGGGCTCTCATGTGAAGCGTAGGTCTGGCGGTAGCTTCGTCGGTCTCCACCTTGTTCACCATTGGCGGCGTTACCGGCCTTTCACTCTCCTTGGCATTATGGACGATTGTTGCCTCGCTGTGGCTGGAACCGGGTCTCTTGGACGCAAGGAACGAGTCCTCGCGGCCAAGCCTCGACGGAGATGCAGGAGCATGCATATCGCCATAGGCTGGGCCAGCAATGCTATTGCGGTTGCTGGCAAAAGAATTGCCTCGGCTTAGTCCCGAGGGTAACTGTGCACTCCATCGCTTCGAGACACTATCTGATCGCTTCATCATGGCGCTCTGCACAAAGCCTCCGAGACCTTTTGTCGGCGACGTCGAACGTGAACGCTCGGGGGAAAGCCGCCTCGGGGAGGGAGGTGCCGCGACCTGCTCGGGCTCGAATTTTTGTACGCTTGACAGAGGTACGGGAGATCCGAGTCCAGTTGCCGTCGAGACAGAAGATACGCTCGAGTATCGATGTCCCAAACTGCTATCCCCAAAAGTCGAGCTTGCCCTGGATGGGGAACGCGATCTTTCTTCTCCGACTTCCGGTTGTGAGTTCTGCTTCTCGTGCTCAGCAGGTGCTCCTGGATTCGTTTCGGTGCCTTCGTCGTTTATTGGGATTGAGCCCTGACCGGGCATTTCAGCGCCCGGCTTTTCCTTGGCAATCTCTCTAGTGATTGAGTCGGGAGATTCCTCCGCCCTTGTTGTCTGGGTGGTGGGAATATCCTTAGAGGAAGGCGAAAGCGTCAGCGGACTGCGAAGGTTTTTGTGATCATCGTTCGAGAAATTAGACAAGCCACTCAGGCGATTGAGACGGGTCGGGGAGCGCGTGGGAGAGGGAGGGAAAAACGATCTATTGCCGCTCAGATCTCGAGACGACGGCCGTTGTTGCCAGGACAGGGTCCCTGCTCTACTGCGTGCAAGAGGTGAAGTAGTAGTTGCTTTCGGTGAGGATGCAATCTCCCTCCCGTCTAGTTTTGACCCTTCCAGATCGCCATCCGTAACGATTGACACGTCGTCTCGAAAGGGGTCAGATCTGGCGCCTGTGGCATGTTCAGGTGTCCGAGGTGTGGGTGAGAGTTGTTCTGGAGGGTCGATCGCACGCTGGCTGAGGGAAGAAATGCTCAACCGAGCGGATTCCAATATGGGGGAGTCCTTCGTTGGCGAAATTGACCGCGCTCGCTCTACATAAGGTCGGAAAAGAAGATGGACAAGATCAGCCTTTGATAATTTAATTGTCCGAAAGCTCGGGCAGCCCATGGATCGAGACGACAAGAGCAATAGAGGATTGGAATAACTGGGAGACTAGGGACGCCAAATACCAGCTCTTCGAGCCTGCCTCTCCTTGCGACTCTGCATGATCTCCTCCTCCAACTTCTTGGTCCGTTCCTCGTCCTCCTTATCACGTTTCTCGCCTAACTCCCGAATCCGCAGGAGGAAGTCATTGACATCCTCTGAACTGTCCGCATCCGTGGTAATTGTCATGGCACCCCAGGTATGAGAATGAACAAGCAAACAGAGAAGGGAAAGGTAAAAAGGGAGATTATCAGAAGGAAAAAGCAATAATACAAGAATAATCGGCCAGGATCACCCAGTAGACTGAGCCGGGTTGGTGTGGGGTCCTGACAAGAAGAAGCGCAAATCGCAATGGACGATGGAGGGGAAGGAGATAAATCGATGTTTATCGAAGTGCCTAGGCAGATAGATAGTAGTCTCTAGTGTACGGAGTAAGGGAGTGGTACTTCCCAGAGTCTCCCACGGCGCGTCTCAAGTTAATCTAGTCAGGATCCCAGGAACTGTCGATTATCCTCCGCCTTTAACCCTGGTTGTGGGACGTCACGCTTTTTTCTTCTCTCACTGCTGTTTGTGGATCCAGGCAAAAAGTGGTGACTCGAAGGGTACAAGTCACTTTACTAGTGTCATATTTGGATTGATATTTTCAGCTGCCTCACTTGCTCAGCAGGACCCAGGACGCACAAAAACCGTGATCACACATCAGCTGTAGCTGTAGCCCCACCGCGTCCTTGCTGAAAATGCGCCCGACAGGCTCGTCTCAGTCGTCTACCTGAGTATCCATCCACACCAACGCCCAATCCGTATCTCCCTTTTTCCGATGATTGGCAAGATATTGGAGTCATACAGCAGCAGTGTAGATAGTAGACTACCTTAGTAGTTAGCATTCAGAACTTTAAAGAGGTATCTGATCCCCTATGTGGCACCAAAGGGTCATTGAAGGAACACAAAATGGCTTATTCTTCTTGTTTGTATGGGTTACAGCAGCTTGTTTTGATGTTTCTCAACATGGAAGGGTTACTAAGGTAGATACCACCAGTTATGTATGGTACCGGTCGGCACCTCGCTCCATGTGGTGGACCTTCTCTGCCGCCCCCCGATCCAGTGATAGTTGTGAAACCAGCTCTTAAAGTCTTAGGTAGATAGTTATCAGGTATCTGGGTTTGGTTGTATACTTAGCAGCCTAAGGTAGTCTTCAGGAATAGAATGAATGTCGTCATACTTTGAAGTATCGTCAACCCATGGAGTTTGGATGGCATACATATCCGGTCACCTCGACATTTGACGCCATACACATCATATGGAATGTTGGCTCAAATAGTGTTATCCCTTGTTAAGCCACAAGATGTTTAAATTTAATGACACTCTGTGCGGCTAACAGCTTGATGATTGCTAGCATTTTTAGGAGAGCGACACATTCGGCCATCAAGATGTTCTTGTCTCCTATTAGGACTCTCTAACTAGTTCCATACTGCTTGAGAATTTTGGCGCCGCTTGTCGCTTATCGGGCCTTCTTCAGGTCTTAGTTGGAACCCGATTGTGGAGAGAGAACAGCCTGACAAGGCGATCGCACGTATTTGAGGATGTTTTTTTCGTGTGGATGAGTTGTACAAGGGTTAGAAGACCAAACAATACGGGAACTGAGGGCAAAATTGATACAAAGAGGACGAGATTCCTTCAAAGCTCAAGAGACGACTAAATGGTTGGTTGCGGACACATATATAGAGCAACACGGTGTGTGCGGGACTGGAAAACGACAAACTTCATTTCATCTTGAAATTAGTGATACCAATGAATTCTCAAGTGTTGACCTGACTCAAGAAGCATCAATGTAAATCCGTATTGGAGTTGAAAATTCCGGACATTCATCAAGTGTAGTCCAGAGAAGCGGATAGAGCCAGGGTCAGTAGAGGAAAAGTCTGTCTTTTGCATCCTGCACTACCCATTGTAAGCCTTCATGAAGATTCTTGCCTGTCATGGCACTGCAGTGCAATATAGTCCATTTGTGGGTCTTTATTGAATCCAGGCGAAGCCGCTGGAGAGAGGTCAGTAGATGTCCGTAGAGCCCAACAAATATATCAAAACGCGCCAACAACTTACTTCACGGACTTCATCCTCCGTCATACATCCTTCTACATCTGTCTTGTTCAAGAATATCAGGAGACTTGCTCCCATCAGGCGCTGGAGGGTGTTAGCCAAACTGATGCTCATCACCGAAAATTTCGCAGGCGAGCGGGGAAATTGGCAACCGTACCTCTTCGAGGAGTAGGCCCGCGAGTTCATCCCGGCAATCATCAACTCGTAGACGGTCTGTTGCATCTACCACCCAGACAAGTGTGTCGGTCTTCTCAAAGTAGTTTTTCCAGTATGACCGCAGTGTTTTTTGTCCCCCGACGTCCCCTGGCGGCAAAAAGTCAATCGAATTTCCTTGCGGAGTTTTGATTGCTGGCTTCTCTCACATATGTTCAATCTATATCTGTGTTTTGAGTCAGTTACCAAGATGATTAAGATTGTTACGATTGAAATTACCCTTCAAAATCTATTGTTTTGATGATAAAGCCCAGTGTAGGGCTGACAGTTGTGACATCTTCCTTCATAATCTGCTTCACAATCGTTGTCTTCCCAGCATTATCAAGACCACTAGCATCGATCGTGAGCATCTAGATCGGTTGTTTCTTGAGCTCAGAAAGACCTACAGCATCAAAATCCTCATCTCTTTGTCCTTTAAGCGAGCTTTTCTCAGTATTGACAGCATTTTGGCCAAGTACGTCCTCTCGAATCTCTTGCGTGGGCTGAGTTGTAGTTGGATAAATGCCTACATACAGGCGAAAGATAGAGACTGGTCATGATCATAACTAACCCAGCAGGGCAATCCCAACAATTCTGTATAGTTTTTGATTCGATGAAGGACAACACTCATTACTAGCTTACTCTTAAGTTGATTTTACCTTGTTCTCATTTTTTGCTGTACTCGTGTGAGGGTAGAGACGCTTTCTGAAGCTCTTTCCTACCTGGAGAAATCCTCTACTCCTTCTTATATCTTACCTCAAATAGACCTAAGACGTGACTATGATAACTTGTAGGGCTAGAAAATATAACAGGGCTCTCAGAGAGTGATAGAAACTCATGTCATTAATCCTAAGGCCACATGATAATTCGTTAGCGTCTTAGACGACTGCTTCTTTCAGTACCTAACAGCTTCTCTAACAAGTAACACCCGTTTCATTTGACTTCATATTCACTTGAAGCTGAACTTGCCCTAACTCTCGCTTAAGACCTATCTTGACCCAATGCACCGTGCAAGTTGACTCATAATACTCCCATCTTCTGGTCCGGAACATTCTCTTCTGGGTTATCCACACCATTCCTTAATGACTAGCCACCATGGAGAGGCAAGCTCATTATAATCAGCCAAATAGGCCAAGCAGGCGTAGGCCTCACATGCCGAATACTAGTTTCCAGCAAGATCCTGTTCCCCCTGAGTCTGGGCTTCAAGCAACAGAAAATCCTTCCTCATCCTTCTCAAAGGCTCGCAGGACCAGAATCCCTGCTTTCAAAAAGAGAAGACCAAAGCAGACAGACTCTCGCGCTGGGAACCACGACCCTAATTCTCAGCTTGACAACGACCATCCGGCTCCTGGCTCCTCGAACCCAAAACCAACGGACGGGAGTATCACTATTCACTCTGCGACACTCGACCTTGGAACATCACAAGATGACTCAGAGAGACTGAATAACACCGAGCCCTCAAAATCCCCTGCTTGCTTAGTTTTGAGAATTCAGGGACCTTCTATTCCAAGTTCTTATTCTCCGCACCAGAGACAAAGTGCAAAACAGGGAGACAAGGAGGCCTCAGGCAGTCACACAACAAGCCAGCGCCGTGAATGGCGACCTAAGAAATTCCATAGCAGAGCACCAGCTTCTACCCACCTCTTGCAACAGTCTCACACTCCACTGAATCGATCGAAATTGAGTCAAGTCATCAACACTGATACAGCTCAGTCGTCACTTCCTTCACAAGGAACTACAAAGATGGGTGAGTAATACCTGCTCCTTATTTCTCATTTTGGCCAAAGATCGAGCTTCAGGAAGCTAACTAGCGGTCAGATCAAGCAGGAGACAGTCCAAAAAAGTCTGACAGCAATGGATCCGACGAAGTCGTCATGCATCGAGGGGCCAATTTCAAAGGCCGCAATCACAGACAGCCTCGAGGCGGAAGCGCACGTCCAAACAGCGATTCCAGAAATAGAGCTCATCCAAGTATGACGCAGCAAATACCGAGACAGAAGCCCAACGAAACACCAAACAGACCTGCTGCGGTGAAAAATCACGTTCCTGAGGACGATGATGGCCCCCAAATCGAAACCCCGTCCAGCGTGCAAAAGATCGCAAAAAAGGCTCCATCTAAAGAGGCACTGGATGAGTTGAAGCGCCTTCAGGAAGAGATTGTTTTGCAAGCCCATCTCAATCGCTACAGAGACCCTGAAAACGACACAGCAAATCCAGAGAGCCTTGCGAAATGCAGGGATGGGCCAGGGACCGATCCAAGATCAGCTGTCTACGAGAGCATCGCAAGGTGTAGGCTTGCAGCCAATCCAAATGAAACTTCTTCGGAACCAAGGTCTCTCCCAGAGGATGAGTTTGAAGGCGACGTTGATGATAGATACTTTGTCGATGACATCAGGTATCGCGTCCAGAAATTTTTCGCTGCGAGATTTGACGCTCAGCGTGAAGCTTATCATAATAGCGTGTCCGTGTATCCGGCCATCGTTGACGGCCAGATCTTTCTTTCACGCTACCCGAGTCCGGAGCATGATAGTCTTCAGACGCAGAAGAGAATTCCATCGAACGATGAGCCCCAGGCTGGTAATCAGGATGATGGTCATACACCAGAGCACCGCTCTAGGGTTAAGTGGGAGGATAGGTGGGAAATGCGTGCTTTTTCTACCCATGAAGGCTTTCTTGATTGGTTTCGTTATTGGCTAGAGATGGAGACAGACGATAACTGCAACCTTGACATCTACCACCAAGCCTTTTTTGACGGAACTGCGCATACGGATGGGATCAGGTCTTTGTTCATTGTTGACTTGGGAGACGTCCCAACTCGTTTGGACATGACTGATGAAGCGACACGTCTCCATCATCATGAAACTGCTGAAGGCTACTGCCACAACCTTGCACTGCATATGAAAGCAGCAGAAGAGGAGGCGAGGATACGCAGAAAACAAGCTCGAGATGCCTTCATAGAAGGTCTGAAGGTCTGCTCCCCAAAAGATCCAAATAGTCCCAGAGCAAACGTCTATCTTCGCTGTGTCGAGGATGGTGATATACCAGGACTTCTCATGATCCTTAATTGGTACGGTCAAAGGTCAAACTTGAGTTCGAGCTTAGGAACGCTCGACGAACAATATGTGCGCCAACGAATTGAGGATAGCAGACGCGCAAGATTGCCATTCATTGTGGCTGCGGAGCGCAGACGGGGACCATCCGACGATGACACTCCAGAGAAAATCCTTGGGTATGCCTTGGCTACGGATTCCCTGGGGCCTCAGACCACCGGTCGATACACAGTGGAGCTAGAAATTTATATCAAGCCTGACCAGAAACGCCGGGGCATCGGAAAATGTCTCTTGGACAAGCTCATCGAAGTATGCGACGCCACTTATGTTCCGAAAAGGGGCTTCTTCTACGATGCCGGCTGTGACGACAAGACTGGCCTTTACCCAGGTGGTTCCCGAACCCTCAAACGTCTCGTCTTCAGCATCAGCTATTCGGTCTCTGAGAGATCCCAGATCAAGTGGCTCATTGACTGGCTTAAAAGGGAGTATCACTTTGAACAGCAAGGCGTGCTCAAGGGAGCTCGAGTCAAATCCGAGCGATTGTAAGTGATCCCTCATTTAATCAATGATCACATGAGTCCTAGACTTACCAAAACGCTCTCATAGCCTTGATGTCAGTTACCTTGTTCGCAAAGCTGGTTACGACGATGGCGATGCCTTTCATGCTTGAAGGAGATAACCTTTCGGGAGTTTGGGTGGGCGTCTTCTCCTTCTCCTGCATATTCAGGTGTCCTTACTTCTCCGTCGTCTCCCTTCGAAGCCTTTTTTCCCTTTGTGTTTCTCGTCTGTTTGGAAAACTAGCAAAGTGAGGAGAACAGTGGTAGTGCAGGAGATTGGGATTTCAATAACTCAAAGCGATGGACATCTCGTTTCTTTTTGCGTCTCACAGTTACATTGCTCTTTTGATACACAAAGACTCATAATCAATTAAAAAATAAAAGGTCTCGTTGGAAGGATTGAAGTTCGTTATGCTTGTTCGATAGCACCTTAGTAAGCCAAGGCTGATAAAACTGGCTTTCAGGAGACAGCCAATCAGAGTTACAGAGAGCAATTTTGCGGCTATTTTCTGCTGTGCTGAAGTCTCTCACCGCCTTCGCAATTTGAACTTTTTTCTTTCCTTTCCGCTCAAGAGAAAATAGATAGAGCCAGTGATCCTGGGAGGAAAAACTGGGATAGTTTGAGTTCCTTACACTAATTTCACTTGATCTATTCATATCTTTACAGTCTAGTACTCGCCCCTTCGCTCTCCGACGGCCACTTGACGGCCGGTCTCCTAAAAGATGGCTCCCAATGCCGCAACAAAAAAGCGGGCTGCCACCCAAGATGAGGACTTCGTGCTCACACTATCAGACGACGAGAACGATGTCCTCGAGAACGGCGTTGAGGAAGGCGACGACAATGCCGAGGAAGTCACTATTTCCAGCTCGAAGAAACGCAAGCGAGAAGCGGCGGAGGCACCGAAGGGCAAGAACAAGAAGCAGAAGCAATTGAAGCAAAGCAAGAAGGGCCAGAGCGCTGCTGGCGCAGTATCTGACGAACAATCTGGCGAAGAAGAGGAGGACGACGCAGTGGATGCTGGGGAGGATGATGGGGCGTTGGACTCGGAGTTCGAGTTCGATGTTGGCGGCAATGCCAATACCGGTGTGATTGAGGGATTTGATGGGTGGGAAGCGCGGAATGGAGACAGGGATGCGGATACTGCCAAGAATGGGGATAAGAAGGCCGTGGATATCGATGATATTATTTCCAGGAGGAAAGCGAAGAAAGAGGCCGAGCTGAAAAGGAAGCAGCAGAAGGAGAAAAAGAGGAGGGAGGAGGAAGGAGAGGAGGAGAGTGAAGATGAAGACGCCGACTCTGATGGCGGTATGTCTGTGGATTTCCAAGACGACGAATTGCTTGCTGCAGATGGGTTTGGTATGGGTGCCGATGGTGTGGACGAGAGCGGCGATGATGCGGAGAACGACTCTAGTGACGGTGGTGATGCGGATGAACAGGACGGCGAGGAGGATGACGATGATGAGGCTGCTTCCGATAACGACTCCGTTGCGACTCCAGTAAACCATCCGGATGACGAAGTAGCTTCTGACAATGAGTCCGAAGCGGAGAGCGAGGTTGACGCCGAGGAAGCAGAGAAGCGCAAGGCTTTCTTCGCGCCTGAAGAAAAGTCTACAGTCGCACCAACTTCAAATCGATCATTCCAGGACTTCAATCTGTCTCGACCCATTCTTCGTGGTCTGGCATCTGTCAATTTCACCACGCCGACTCCCATCCAGCAAAAGACGATCCCCATGGCTCTGCTTGGTAAAGACATCGTGGGTAGTGCCGTTACTGGTTCAGGAAAGACTGCTGCTTTCGTTGTTCCCATTCTTGAGCGTCTGCTGTTCCGCCCTCGCAAAGTCCCCACCAGTCGTGTTGCTATCCTTATGCCCACTCGTGAATTGGCTGTTCAGTGTTACAACGTGGCTACAAAACTGGCTACTCATACTGATGTTACCTTCTGTCAACTTGTCGGTGGTTTCAGTCTTCGCGAGCAGGAGAATATCTTGAAAAAGCGTCCCGATGTGATCATTGCTACTCCTGGTCGTTTTATCGATCACATGCGGAATTCCCCCAGCTTCACTGTCGACACACTGGAGATTTTAGTTCTTGACGAAGCCGATCGAATGTTGGAAGATGGTTTCGCAGATGAACTCAACGAAATCTTGACAACCATTCCCAAGTCGCGGCAAACAATGCTCTTTTCGGCTACAATGACAGACTCCGTCGACAAGCTCATTCGGGTTGGTCTCAACCGTCCAGTTCGCTTGATGGTCGACTCGAAGAAGAATACATCCATGAACCTGACCCAGGAATTCGTGCGGTTACGGCCAGGTAGAGAGGACAAGCGGTTGGGATATCTCCTTTACCTGTGCAACGAGATCTACACTGGACGGGTGATCGTCTTCTTCCGGCAGAAGCGTGAGGCCCATCGGGTTCGCATTGTCTTTGGGCTATTGGGACTCAGAGCCGCGGAGCTTCATGGTAGTATGAGCCAAGAACAGGTATGTCAATCTATGAGCTAAGATAATTACTTGAAATTGGACTAAACAGCAACTCCAGCGTATCAAAAGTGTTGAGAACTTCCGGGAAGGCAAAGTAGCCTTCCTACTTGCTACTGATTTGGCGTCTCGTGGTCTGGATATCAAGGGTGTCGAAACGGTCATCAACTACGAAGCGCCTCAGAGCCACGAGATCTACCTGCATCGTGTTGGTCGAACAGCCCGTGCGGGCCGCTCCGGTCGCGCATGCACCATTGCAGCCGACCCAGACCGCAAGATTGTCAAGTCGGCCGTGAAGGCCGGCAAAGCGCAAGGGGCTAAGATCGTCAGCCGCGTCGTTGACCCAGCTGTTGCGGATGAATGGGCCGCTAAGGCCAAGGGCTTGGAAGATGAGATCGAGGAGGTGTTACAGGAGGAGAAGTTGGAGAAAAAGATGGCACAGGCAGAGATGCAGGTGACCAAGGGAGAGAATATGATCAAGCACGAAGCCGAGATTATGTCGCGGCCGAAGCGCACATGGTTCGAGACTGAGCGCGACAAGCGCGCGGCGCGCAAATTGGGGGCTACCGAGCTCAACGGGCCATCTAAGAAGGATAAAGTAAAGCTGAGCAACAAGGATAGGAAACGGCTTGACGACGCACGCCAGCGACACGAAGGAAATATCGGTTGGAAGAAGGGCAAGGCGGATCGAGAGGCTCCCAAGCAGGGGAAGAACAAGGGGGATAAGAACAAAAGTGACAAGAAGAATAAGAACAAGATGAGGGGAAGGAAATGAGGAGGGGACTACATCAACTGCGTATAGAATCGCATCAGAATCTAATATAGGTTGTGAATATCTCTTCAAGGCCTTTGGTATACCAGTCTTTTCCAGAGAGCGGTCCTATTCTGATAACCACTCATCTACATCCGGGCCCCTCCCAAATTCGAAAACTGTGTCTTCAGTTAAAATCGAAATGACTCAAATTGAAGCTATTCCAGTTGTCTATCGTAGGGCGTCGTTCCTTGGCCGCAAGAAGCCCCCCGAGTTCCAGTCAACGGCTAGTGGCGGTTAACAGCGGGGGAATCATGGGTCTCATGGTTTGAGGTCCCTATAATGGTCTCCGATCATCGGCCCCCCGCATTGAGTAGAATAAGTTTCAGCTCACTGCACCAACAAGCATCAGGAGAGATAGAATGGCTGAAAAGAATTTACAATCAGGATGAAAATCACATTCGATCCGCCTGAGGAGCTCAGAATCTTAAGTTACCAACACTTTCAAAACACACTTGCGACAAATTGACACGCCAAGTTCAGTCGCCTCTGGACTTTTATATACCTCAGGTATCCACTTTGTGAGGCATCTCACGCCCCTGACCAATCAGAGCCACCAATTAAGGTCCCCCGCCGTCCGCTGTCGGCGAATCGACGAAAAAATATGTGAAAGAGGCGACAGAGCGTCATGACCTATTGAAAGATGGAGATACTACTAGGTACTGACTCACTCGTCCTCAAACTCGTCATCCACCTTTCTCCCTTTACTTAAATATCATTCTCTCATCGTAAACTTTTCATTTTGGTGTCATACAGACACCTTTTATCTGCCAATTGTCTGGTCATCCCTTTCCTCCCGACCACAATATCCTCAAGTGACTTTCTCTACCTTCTCCCACCCCGCTGCGGATACCGCACGATACCGCCAACATGCCTATGTATGTTTTCTTCCCCTGAATCTCTGTTTACTCCAACTCACTCAAATGACGATTCACATTCAAGCTTCTTTTATTGACTCGTTATGATAGGCTTAAAGATCCCTCGAAAAAATACAAGCCCTTCAAGCCTCTCCGTCTCTCTAACCGCCAATGGCCCGATAAGGTTATCGACAAGCCGCCCCGCTGGCTGGCTACTGATCTGAGAGATGGCAACCAGAGTCTGCCCGATCCGATGGTGAGGACCTCGTTCAATGTCTTTTATTTGATGCCTCTGACGTATAGGTGTATATAGGACGGTGATCAGAAGTTCCGGTTCTTCAAGATGCTCGTCGACATCGGTTACAAGGAAATCGAAGTATCATTCCCCTCGGCATCGCAAACGGACTTTGATTTCACTCGACGCCTGGTAGAGACACCTGGCGTCGTTCCCGATGATGTCTGGCTTCAGGTTCTGTCTCCTTGCAGAGAAGAACTCATCCGTCGCACTGTCGATTCCCTCAAAGGCGCAAAGAAGGCTATCTTGCACATCTACCTGGCTACCAGCCCGTGTTTCCGCCGAATAGTTTTCGGCACCACCCGCGAACAGAGTCTTGAGATTGCCGTAAGATGCGCCAAGTACGCCCGCTCGATCACCAAGGACGACCCAGAGATGGCTGGTACCCAGTGGCAGTTCGAGTTCTCTCCCGAAACTTTCTCCGACACCGAGCCTGAGTTCGCAGTCCAGATTTGCGAGGCCGTCAAGGCTGCTTGGGGCCCTACCGAAGAAAACCCCATAATCTTCAATCTGCCAGCAACAGTGGAGATGTCAACGCCAAACGT